AGCTCATTGATATAATATGAACACCACAAATAAGTATAAAAAAGTAATTCAAGATAATTTTGTAGAATATTTTATGCGGAGTACAAATACAAACAGCTGTGCATTTATTTGTGCTTCAATTATAGCTGTTACAGGATATGTGAGTATTTGTGTAATGTAAGGTCAGCTTACAAAAGCATGTATAATATTTTTGTTCATTTTGTTGTGTGTAATAGTGAATTACGGCATGCAACTGACACTTGAGAGTGAAATGAAACTGTGGTGAGCAGTGTTGGGCAGTAACACATTACTTAGTAAAGCGTTACTGTAATTTGATTACTTTTTTAGTAACGGAGTAATTTAACGAGTTATAATTTTCAAAATAGTAATTAGAGTATTACAAGCCGAGGTCTCTATGCATTAATGCCGCGTTACATTGCTGACAGAACGCAGTGTTTTATAATCTAGATAGTAAAAAGGATGTAGCACACGCACTGTCGAGTCCAGTGCCAGTGGATTAGAGACCTGCTCTCCCGCGAGACCCGTCGCAAGAGAGTGTGACGCGAGTAGACGATCGTGTGTGTGCAGGATGCGGGAGAATAAAATTATTCACGGGACTCCCGCAAAATAGAAATATCTAAACATAAAATATCTAAAACAAATAAATTGTTATTCATCTATTGCACAAAAGCAACAAGAAGTAATATAAAATAAAAACGATTAACAGGCGCAAGCATAGGCAGAGTTTCTATTTAGGCTATAAACGTGTTTGCTGCGTTGAGCAATGTTGATTTCTGGAACGGAATGGCCAGTCAGGAGTGCAGTGATGAAATGTGCATGCTCACGTATCCTCTCATTATAGCACATAGCATTCAAACTGGAATGATATAGTGCTTTGGACACTTTTTTTTCTCGATGTTTGATCAACTACAAAAAACCAAATACATTTTGTTAACAGGAGACAATACAGTGCACGACATAAATGAGTTCATCTCCTCTGAAACTTAACAAATTCAGCAATTATTCTTTACTTAGAAGACACGTTAGGGTTCTTTAGAGATATAATATTCCAGCAAGTCTGCTTGTTCAGTAACCAAAGAAGAATGTTAAAATTATTCAGGAAAATAAAATTTTCTTATCAAAGTCATAAAATGTTGTGTTGCAAAAATGAGTACACCCTCCTAAAAGTTACTAAATAAAACTAAAAATATATATAATTCTGGTATAAGGTTAAGGCAATTATTGATCAACAGGTATGTATGTTGGACCAAAATTGTTAAAAATAAGTAATTTCTTGACAATTAAAAGTGTTAGCCCACTGAATCACGCTCAGACTTAATGTTGGCAACAATGAAACCACTAGAGAGAGAACTGGGAATTTTTTAATATAAAAGAGGACCATGGTACATGAGGTATACCAAAGTATTGTTTTAAGTGTGAAAATATGGCAAAAGTAAAAGAGAAATTTAAAAACAATGGACTTGTGAAAAGGCCCCTGAAATAATTAGGTCTTCACTTTAAGCTTTAATTTAGTGATGAGTGAGTTTTTGCTAGAAAAAGAGCAGGAGAAACACCAATAAAATGTCTCAGAGCCAGCAAAAGTGACACTTTATCCTAAAAGAGTAAGATGCAGCCTGCAGAAGTGACATGCATGGTTGTTTATCCACACCAGAACTACCGACTGTAGCCAAAGCACAATAAACTCATTCAGCTTTTTCCAAGGCCCATATTTACAAAATATAAACTTCTAGGAATCCATACTCTGGTCTCATGAAACCAAGTCAATTATTTTGGATAATTCCCTCTCCTCATTCCCTGCATTGTTGGGATTTTTTTTTCAATATGACAATGAAGATGGGAAAATCCTTCAGTGTCATGAACTTGTACACTCAGGGTCAAGAAGGGTCAGAGCAGTGTACTTAGAGTTATGGAGGGCATATTAAGTAATAGAACAGTACACTTTGTTGAATTTAAATCTAGGGTGTACTCATTTCTGCAGTCCTTCATTTAAACCAGTGGTTCTCAAAGTGTGGTACGAGTACCACTAGTGGTACTCAGGCTCCCTCTAGTGGTACCACTAAATTAAATATAAATTAATGTTAAAACACAATCCCCCGGTTTCACAGACAAGGCTTAAGCCTAGTCCTAGACTAAAATCTAAGTCGGAGCTTTTCCAACTGAATTTTTTTTTTTTATATATATCAGTGCCTTTGTTTTGTCCCAAGATGCACACCAGTAATGTTTTTTTTTTTTTTTTTGCTTTTCTAAGCACGTTTATAAAAATTGCTTAAATGTTCTAATTTAACTATGATCTAATCCTGGCTTAGTCTAAGCCCCGTCTGTGAAACCGGGCCAATACATTTTAATTTAATCTTTATTTGAGTAAAGTTTTTTGTTGTTGTTGTTTTACATTTAAGTACAGTACAATTTTGATTTAACTTTTAGGTACAACACATTTTAATTTAATCAAGTTTTTTTATTTACCTATTTGTAAGCACAGTGCAGTGTTAATGTTCAAACTGTGTATTTACAATGTTAAAGTGGCTGACGACAATAAATATTCTTATTAGGAATAAAACTTCCTCGTTTTTGAACTGTGCAGAGCTTTATTTGAATAGTTAGACTGTATTTTAATGTTGATCATTATGGTGGTACTTGGAGAGCCAAATATTTTCTGAAGTGGTACTTGGTATAAAAAGTTTGAGAATCACTGATTTAAACAAAATTGGCTAAGTTACTTATTTTACAGATATTATTGGCATATATTTCTCTGTTTTTATTATATGTTTAATACATTTTAATTTTGCCATCTTTCTTTGAATTATATTAATGATCATTAAGAAAATACATCTTTTATATTTAATCATATATTTAATATGTATATTGATTATACTATTATTATTATAATATTAATATTTTATATTTAATATACAAATATAATATAATTATATATTTAAACCACCACTGGCTCTGCACCCCTTTACCTAAATGCATTACTTCAGATTTATGTGCCCTCTAGAAGCTTGCGTTCTGCAAGCGAACAATGCTTTTATTGTGCCACCTCAAATAAGCACAAAATCACTTTCACTGACTTTTAAATTTAATGTTCCCTCCTGGTGGAATGACCTGCCTAAATCAATCCCAGCAGCTGAGTCCTTAACCATCTTCAAGAATCGGCAAAAAAAAACATCTCTTCCATCTTTATTTGACCCTCTAACTCAAGCACTCTCTGTTCTAATTCTATTATTTTAGACTTGCACTCTATTAATGGTCTGTGTAACCTTTTACAGTTCTTTGATCAATTCGCACCTTCAAAATGTACCAAATGAAAAGTTGGCTTTAATGCCAGTAAATTTTGACCTTTGGAAACAGGCTTATAAATCATACAGAATGATGTTTTCTATTATGGCGAGATTAGGTACTTTTGTATGCAAGTATGTAAGTGATTCTGCATTGTTCTCCAGACACTAATAAGTGAGTTAAATTGTTGTACTGTGTATAGTGTTGGGTTTTTCTTGTGCATCAGCAAAAAGCATTTTTGTATATTTGTTTTAGAGATTGTTTTGTCAATAAATGTAGAGGGTTTTCCATTTTGTGTTTGTGTTGATTGTTGCTAGAGATATGACATTGAAGTACATTGAAATGATATTGAAGTATATTTTAGTTCACATTAATTGCTTATTCAGAAGAAGATATTTACTATATTTCAAAGCACATATAAAATATACTAAAGTCCCATTTAAGTGGTTCAAAAATATCACTCAAAAGTTCAACTAATTGCAATTAATGTAGTTTTAAACTGTAATATATTTGAAATCAAGTACAAATAATATGCATGTAGGTGGTCGAAAACATTACATTTAATTCACACTTAAGTGTTAACTGACATTAAAGTATATTTTAGTTAACATTAATTGCTTGTCAGTACATTAGTAGTACACTTTAAAGGGGTCATATAATGCTATTTCAATTTTTCCTTTCTCTTTGGAGTGTTACATGCTCTTGGTGCACAAAGAAGATCTGTAAAGTTGCAAAGACTAAAGTCTCAAATCCAAAGAGATATTCTTTATCAAATTTAAGAGTCAACCACGCCCCCTAAAACGGCTCATTACACAGAGCAACAACAATGTACATTATGTGGAAAATAATGTGTTTTTTTAACCTTAAACTGCATAAATACATTGCATTACACCAAATACACAAAATAATGTTATTTTTAGCAATGTCATATGACCCCTTTAACCATATTTTAAAGACACTAGAAGCAATTATGAAAGTACATATAAAGATGTACTAAAGTCCCACTTCACTCAAAACCAATCACTCAAAAGTTCAACTTATTGCATTTAATATAACTTTAAAATGTGACACATTTGAAATTAATTACAAATACGATGTACTTAAGTGGCGAAAATAGTACACTTAATTTGCACTTATGTGTGTACTTTTAAAGTATATTATTTCCACAATAAGTACACTTTTTAAAAGTATACTTAAGTGCACTTCTTTTTCACAAGGGTATACCCTTTATGAACACTTTACGAACACGATCTCAATAAATTCTGGCAATGAGTGTTAGCAAGTCTATTACCTAAATCATTTAATTGACAATGCTGAGAAATACACCCGCTGTTTTTAAGGTTTTGTTCACAGGAAAAAAATGAAAGTTCAGTAAAGGATTCTTTGAAAGCAGACTTACCCATGTTCGTCGGGAAGACTCATCTCAGACGGAGAGTCCTTTCCTCGGTCCCCTGACATACTGCAGCTACACAGCCAGTGCAAACATCAGCACTGCTTTGTGAAGAGTGTCAGCTGTTCAGCTTGACCTGAAGATAACAATGTTACTGAGATGAATAACATGGCATTTCAGAGGGACGAATGAAAAAGAAAAAGATTATTATAGATCATTCCACAAAACACATGGCCTAAAAGTGCTATGCAGGAAATAAACACAGAGTCAGTACTTTGCTACTGACATTGATAACCAACAATACTTTACTTTATGTATTGGAGTCTTTAAATACTCTTACCTTTACCCAACTTTTTCCTATCTTGTTGTATCATAGTGCTTTTGAAATAAGAGTAATTTACTATTTGTACTAAACGTAATATGATATACTACATGAAGCAAAACATTTGTTTTGTTAAATTATTCCTTAAAATAAAACCGAATTACATGAAAGTATGTATGTTGGAGTTTAGCTAAGTTACCTAACTAGAAATGTCGGATTTCGTCGAAATCTTATAACTTCCTGTAACTGCACTTGAACTCTACTTTCGATTTCGCGCTACATTTAGTAATGCGAGTTATCTTAATGATAAAAGCAGACTAAATGAACGAAGTGTGGTAAAAATCCTTCAGAAAAATAATTATTCAACTTTTATAAACTTCATGCTTTAACATGCGTGCTGATCAAACAGTTCTTGCATTCTTCTTGGCCGTCAGTTATAGGCTAACGGTTACTCCTGGAACATATAACTTGGCATTTAAATAAAGCTGAAATTCCTTCATAAACTTCAAATAATTGTAAGAAGGGAAGTATTAAAGCTTACTTGCAGTAGTACAGACGGTCTTGTTGTGTACAGGGAACAGAATCCAGATGTCTTTGAACACTTTCGATTTTGTTCGCGCTCTAGATTGCCGTAACACCTGGCACGTGATCAAATCAAAGTTCTTTTGCGATGAGCCCCCTCCCACCCCAAGTTTTTTCTTTTTTTAACTGGAGACTAACGATTGTTGACTGACATGCCTAAGTGTGCTATGCAGGAAATAAACACTGAGTCAGTACTTTGCTACTGACATTGATAACCAACCATACTTTACTTTCTGTATTGGAGTCTTTAAATACTCTTACATTTACCCAACTTTTTCCTATCTTGTTGTATCATAGTGCTTTTGAAATAAGAGTCATTTACTATAATTTGTACTAAACGTAATGTGATATGCTACATGAACCAAAACATTTGTTTTGTTATATTATTCTTTAAAATAAAACCGAATTATCTGAAACAATGTATGTTGGAGTTTACTTAACTGGAAATGTTGGATTTCGTCGAGATATTATAACTTCCTGTGACTGCATTCTACTTCCGATGCGAGTTATATAAATAATAAAAGCAGACTAAATGAAAGTGTGGGGAAAATCCTTCAGAAAAAAATTACTAAATTTTAATAAGCTTCATGCTTTAACATGCGTGCTGATCAAACAGTTTGCGTAATTTCCAGCTTCTTCTTGGCCATCATTTATAGGCTAGTTACTCCTGGAACTGGCATACAACTTAACAAAACAATATTTAAACAATTTAAATAAAGCTGAAATTCCTTCATAAACTCCAAATAATTGTAAGAAGGGAAGTATTAAAGCTTACTTGCAGTAGTACAGACGGTCTTGTTTACAGGGAATCCAGATCTTTGGACACTGTTAGCGACAGATTGTAGATGATCGGGCACGTGACACAAGTTCAGTTCGCTTTAAGCCCCTTAAAGCAAACTTTTGCTTTTTTTTTTTTTTTTTACTGGAGACTAACGATTGTTGTTGTTACGATTGTTGATTAGCAACATCCTCAGATTACATAATTAAGTAATCAAAGTTATATTATATGACCTATATAAATTTCATCAAACATTTTCTATTCCATATTCCATATTATTCTGCCAGATAACTGTAGACGAAGAAGTACCACAAATTAGTCGTGTGCACTAAGAAGACACACTTTCCAATGTTTTTCGGTCCTTTACACTTGTTGTTTGTCATGTGGTGATTCCAAAGCAAAGTCCAAGCCAGTAAAATAGATTCATTATGAACTCGGACTGGTAACGATTAACAGCGTTCACTGTACGCTCTGATGTTCGCTCTCATTTGCCAAATGACCGCACGTGCGCACTGAGGCGGAGTGAGCGATGCTGAGCGCGGTTATCAATTATTCTCGTGCTCTGTCGTCGGATAGGAAGAAGATGGATTGTGGATTATATAAATGTTCGTAAATGTTACATTTCTTAGAGCCTGTAAAATGTTTTCTGGGACCTGGTATGAATCAAAGCCAACCAACGCTTTTTCTTGGTGTAGTTTTGTTTTTGTACTATTACTTTCACTTTCGTCTTCTTCGGTGGGTTTAAATGGTAGAGCAGCTGAACTGTTCATACCGCCACCTGCTGGACTGGAGTGTGGAGAGTATAAATACATACAGTATAATTTAAACGGTCAACATGGCATTTATTTTTGTCCCTATTTCTTAATAATTTTTTAAAATATACATATTGTAAATGTCTGGCATCCTGAGGTTCTTTCCTGCTGTATGTTCAATCCTTTGTTTCATACTGACATATTACCAAATTCTAAGAAACAGATTTCATAAAAATACCATTAAATATTTTAAAGCAGCCTATTTAAGAGTTCCCTTCCCCACAAAGCAAAGAAACACTTCAAAACATTGAATGAACTACATCCTTCTAATAAATTCCTAAATCTATGAATTAATTTTGATGTACTGTACCTTGCCATTTCTGTAATTTCTCTTCTCAAGATACAGAACATATGTTTTTTCTCATAGTATAACCAAAGACTGCTGTGTTTGTTTTATGTGATGAATAACTTTATAATACTGGCCAAATATTTACACACACATGTAGATTAATTATATACCTCCTCTATTCATTATATTCCTAAATTAATTAAAACATTTCTCAAAAGCCCTTCAAACTCTTTGATCTCCTTGTAACAATTTACTGCAGAAATGACCACCTAGATCAAAGTGTATCCATGTCTATGTTTGCAGAAAACATTTCTTTGATCACATCATTTGGAATTGTTGCTTCATATTTAACCTAAAAAATGATTTTCATATATTGTGCACAATAGGAGTAAGAGCAGGTTGGGAGTAAATAATGGATGTCAGAGAGGATCAAAAGCAGAAATGTTTTAGTTTTCTAGTTTTAAATAAACATGCACAACACCAGAGGGCTATTGAGTCGCTGGGACACGGGTTCAAATCCGGCCTGAATTAAGTGCCAATATCATCCTTTCTTTCCTGTCTGCTCTCCACTTCCTGTAAAATAAAGACAGCAAGGCCAAAAATTCAGTTGCTAGTTTAATGGTTTTGAATAAAACATGCTATTACACAGAGGTCAAGATGTGTTTTTTATTATTCAAAAACCTACTGACCTTCACTGTCACAGTCACAGCCACTGTTCCACAGGGATCCTCTCTGATGTAATTTCCTGTAGTTGTTGTTTTTCATCATATGAGAACGGAAAGGCTTCCTGCGTGATAGTAACACTGACTCTGGATGACAACAGTGTTAATTATGTTAATGATTGTATGAAATAACTGCCAGTGAGATGAGAATGGGTTTTATAACATTTGTCTTTATGTATTAGTCAGACCTGCATGCCGCTCATTCATATGTAATTTCTACAGGAAACTCTACAGCTTTAAACAGAAGAACCTCTACATCTGCCAGAAGATTAGTTAGTCTGGATTGATGAAAGAGGAGAGACTCCATCAACACCTCTTACTTCAGTCAAAGCTTTATTATCTTGTGTTCAGAGTATAATGAACCAAACACAATCAAACTCTTACTTAGATGTTTCTTCACAGAACTAAAACAATATATTTGTGCAGACACAAAACTGACTTAATACAAATTAAAATAATACATGTAAAAATATATATATACACGTAAGAGATAAGATGTAAACATTTACAGAAATATAAAATATAAAAATGAATTTATGGCATAAAGAAATATAAAATTGACATTGATAGTACTGATTTAAATCTATAAAACATGTAGACTTATTTTAAGTTTATATTTCATGTTCATTTGATATATCTGAGCACTTAAATTTTATTGCACAATCATGTACAGCAATATTTTTATTTCTTCAGAATTGAGTTGATTAATCACAATAATCACATCTGATTGTAGTCCTCATAACAAAGACTCATCTTCCTGCTGATCCACCTCATTTGAGCGCTTATCATCCTCTTCTCTTTCCTTTATTTCACCTGTAAATAAAACCACAAAATATCATTTATCACATGTAAATACAAAACCATCAATAAGCATTCAACATCACTCATGAACTTGTATGTTTCTATTAATGCTGCATTATTAAATCTGAAAGTCTGAGCCTCTTCCAGCTGTATGCTTTAGTTATCATTATTGAAAAGCAATACATACAGTAATAAACTTTAGTTTTGTTAAAGCAGTGCTGTTTGAAGCTGTTTAAATCGGTTATCAAATAAATATATCTGTTTATAAACACTGAATTCATAACAGCTGTAGGTTTTGAAATGCTTGCTTCTCACCCAAAATATCCCTTCTGCTGTCCAATGATTTAAAACAGGTAAGGGGTAGGATTTTTTATTTATGCTGATACTCTCAGTTCATATTTGAATATATAATGAACATTTAAAATTTTGATTATAGAAATCACATCAAACATATGAATTTATTACAGTACTAGTGAGGCTTGTCTGAGGATTCCTCATCTGATGGTGACGTTTCCTTTTCTGTTGATTTCACAGGTTCCTGAGCTTTTGACCAGTGTGTTAACAATCCACCAATGAAGTTCACTCTCCAGCTGAACCAGTCTTTCTCCAGGCTGCAAGGAGGAAGCAAAAACAGTGTTGAGTGGAGAAGTTGTAAATTAGTTACTGTATTTCAATTACTTTGAGTATAATATACTTTAACAAACATTAAATTCTTGTAATCATGTTAGTTACGGATTTTACATTATTCGGCACACACATTTTTATAGATCAATATTGAGAGATCATTTTTACTTTCACCCAGTGTAAGATGTTTATGATATTTAGAGTGCACAGTCACATTTGCCTTTTCTATATCACAGTAATATCACAGGCAATATCACAGTCATCTCAATGTGAATCCATTTAATGAGGAATTTCATCTGATGGACTTCAGTTGCAGAGAAATTCCACTACATGAATTATGCATCAAGTTCAAGTGAATTTATCAGAGAAATTCACAGCATTGATCAAAATAAGTTGTTTGATTTGACAGTGAAGTGTGGGCAGAGCCTCGTCAAAGCTATATTAATTATTCACAAGGAATGAGGCAATCTTTTAAGTGGTGTCTACTTCATACCAGCATTGTTCAAGAATATAAAGTGCTGCATTATAAAGAGACTGTCTGAAAAAATGTTTCCCACACAAGCTTCACATCCGCTCCTGACTTTTATATGCCTGCAAAAAATTTGCCTTTCAAAGGTAAATGTAACTGTACCATACTGTACGATAAATTGGGGGAAAAATACCAGTCAGTGGGAATTTTAACAAGCATATTCATAAAAAGACCCAAATATTTGAAATGTATAATGCTATGCTCTACATTGCCAAATTGTTTAAAATAAAAATGAAGAGAGAGCAGATTAAAAAACACTACATTATAGGTAATAAAGAAAAATAAATGCACAATTGAAGTGTTGGAGGCAGAAGTTTCTGCAGAAACACATTTACTCCTTTGCAACTTAATTATTTTTTGTAAATGTTATACTGTATACAGCTACTGTTTTCATCACAAATATAATTTCTTGCACACATTTTTAATTAAATATTTAATCAAAATGCACATTTTTGTCTTTTTTTGGGCTCCTTGCTTTGCTTACGATCTGTCTGGTCTAAGGCACATGTGTTTTTGGCCAACTGGTCATGCAGTTCTCCTGCCGCTGTTTACACTGTGGCCTCTGCCATTTACAATGTGTCTTATACTTACACGTTTTTTCACGACTGTTAGTGATATTACTGACAGAGAGAAGATACTTGTGCCACAGTTGCACATATCCCGCTAACACAGTGGTCTGTGAGGAATTATTTTCCACAAATATAATGCGAACTCAAGCTCTTCTTGAGATATTGAGTAACAGTGTTTCATTTAATGTCTAATGTTGAAGTGATTTTAAGCATTTTGATTCTTGTATGTGAATGTTACTGACCTCAGTCTCTCCAGTTTACAGCGTACATCCTTCAGTGTTTCACACAAGTGATTCACTCCTGTGCTTTTTATTTGATTCACACTCAGGTTCAGCTCTCTCAGGTGTGATGGGTTTGTTTTCAGAGCTGTAGTCAGGATGAAACACTTTTTCTCTGTAATACTGCATTCACAAAAAATATGTTAAGTTCATGTGTGAGTTGCATTCATCATAACCAAACACCATACAGTCATTAATACATAAGCAAAACATGGAAACTTAATTACAGAACCACAAACCAATCCATAACTAGGATTTGAGGATACTAGTTAGAATCCAAGTCTGAAGCATCTTTAGTTAATCTAAACGTAGATTAAGACACATAACTGACTGAAAATTTTAAATGGACTATTTTCACATTCTTTAAGTGAGAAAATAAAGAAACTTTTCAAATTCAATATAATTTCAGCTAATTTAGTGTAGTTTAACATCACAAATTCTGTTTAAAGCTGCAGTACATAATA